AGCCACATCAATAGTTTATAGCCCACCATGAGAGAAAATTTTTGTTGGCAAACTGAAATTGTATTTATTTATTTTCTAATTTAAGAAGATGAGACATGGACAGAAAACAAATATAAACTAGCCAACATCATTCAAGTTAACACTTTCATTTATCTTTTTTGTAACAGATATTTTTCATTCAAAATGAAAGAACCTTAGTGAGCGTGCTCACATACCCCACGTCCCCACATTGTCATTGGAGAAATAAAATAAGTGTGAGAAAAAAAAATTGTATCAGAAAAATAAATTGAATCATAATTTCCTGTCAATATGCACATCTACAAAGTATGTCCTTATTATCTACACAGTTTCATGAAATTCTGTTGTGTTGTTTGAGAGGAGTTGTGATGACAAAAGGTTGCAGTAGTATATTGGGCAAATAAGTTCAAAGGGGCATAACTCCTGGAAAAAAAATTGAATCATAATTTCCTGTCGATATGCACATCTATGTAGTATGTCCTTATTATCTGAAAAGGTTTCATGAAATTCTGTTGTGTGGTTTGAGAGGAGTTGCGATGACAAAAGGTTGCAGTAGTATTTTGGGCAAATAAGTTCAAAGGGGCGTAACTCCTGGAAAAAAATTGAATCGTAATTTTCTGTCCATATGCACATCTACGTAGTATGTCCTTATTATCTGAAAAGGTTTCATGAAATTCTGTTGTGTGGGTTGAGAGGAGTTGCGATGACAAAAGGTTGCAGTAGTATATTGGGCAAATAAGTTCAAAGGGGCGTAACTCCTGGAAAAAAAATTGAATCGTAATTTCCTGTCAATATGCACATCTACATAGTATGTCCTTATTATCTGAAAAGGTTTTATGAAATTCTGTTGTGTGGTTTGAGAGGAGTTGCGATGACAAACTGTTGCAGTAGTACATTAAAGTAAATAAGTTCAAAGGGGCGTAACTACTAGAAAAAGAATTGAATCGTAATTTCCTGTCGATATGCACAACTACATAGTATGTCCTTATTATCTAAAAAGGTTTTGGTGAAATTCTGTTGTGTAGTTTGAGAGGAGTTGCGATGACAAGAAACAGGACTGACGGACTGACAGACTGACGGACAGACAGACGGGTCAAAAACATTATACCCTCCGCAACTCATTGCGTGGGGTATAATAAAAGGAGATATATAGGTGTATGTTAACAATACACTACCAGTTACTCATCAAAACAAACATCAAGAAAACAACATATTGTCTTTAATAATACACATATAAAAATAAGATAGGGTATGACTGCCAATCAGACAACTCTCCACCAGAGACCAAATAACCTAAAAGTTAACAACTATAGGTCACCGTACGGCCTTCTACAATCAGCCAAACCCATACCACATAGCAAGCTATAAAAGGCCCCGAAATAACAAATGTAATATAGTTTGTTTTTTTAAAGTTCACTACTATACTAGATATTTATGTGCCTGTCCTATTTAAGGATCATTTTCAGTTGTGGTCTTTAGTCATATCTTGATGTTTTTAGTTATATGGATATATCTGGTGTTGATGGTAGATTTTCAGTTGTTGTCTTTAGTTATATCTTAATGTTTTTAGTTATATGGATATATCTGGTGTTGATGGTAGATTTTCAGTTGTTGTCTTTAGTTATATCTTAATGTTTTAGTTATATGGATATATCTGGTGTTGATGGTAGATTTTCAGTTGTGGTCTTTAGTTATATCTTAATGTTTTTAGTTATATGGATATATCTGGTGTTGATGGTAGATTTTCAGTTGTGGTCTTTAGTTATATCTTAATGTTTTTAGTTATATGGATATATCTGGTGTTGATGGTAGATCTTTGAATATACTTTGATAGGCTCTATTCAAATTGTTCACTTGTTTTTCCAACTCAGGACAACTAAGAGCTTGACATACTGTATATATGTATATTATGTAATTATCTATTCCTCACAAGATGAACTGAAACTATCTTAAAAGATTTGATTTTAGACTAAGTACACAAATAAAGTGCAAAGTTTTTAATAAAAGTGTCACTGGGACAGAGTGCACACATGACAAATTGTCTTTTGTCCAATATGAAAGGTGTGAATTTTATTTTGTTACGAAATATTGCTTCAAAATCAAAGATGAGATGATTAATTTTTATCTTGTCACGTAATAAAAAGGTATAATCATTTTTAATAAACTGACACCAGGTATACCAATGTTTACATAGGTAAACTATACCCTATTATTAAGTGTACCGACTATTGGCCTCAATTCAAAGTGTTTTTTTCACTGATTACTAGACCATTTCTAAATTTTTTAAAATAAAATAGTTTCATTTCATATTTATTAGACCAAAAAGAAAGAAATAAATTCTTTGTTGAGTAAATATTTCAATGGAATCTGAATGGTTTTTACAACAATATCAAGTTTCTCCATGGTAGTTGGTACATAAGCATGATAAGAGGAAGAAATTTAAATAACTTTTAAGACATTACTGAATGGTCTGTTTGTATCTCAATAGTCAGTTTAGCATGTTCCAAAGCTTTATATTCCAGCATTTAACACAGACACACTATAAGTGTCAAAGACAAAAATATCTCAAATTCTTCTACCAAAAATATCAAAAAGAAAACACTTTTCTTTTGCATTTAAATTGAATTAAGTTCTCAGTATCTTTCTCGGTGTATATACATTGTAAACATATCAAGTTTCATTTAAATCTGTCTGTAGACACTTAATACATTTATAAACTTCTCACGCAGACTTTCAAATGGAAAAATGACAATTATTTAACTTCCTTTAATTCATATTCATTTCAAATTTCTTCTACAAAGCAATAACTCATTTGAGTGAATTTGAATGTACGGCTTACCATTATTTCTATCAGTTAAATGTAATTAGACTGTATATAGATTCAAAACAAAATATCATACAAAGTTATCTAGTGAGTTCACCAGTCTGTGCATTCAAATTTGTCATCACTGGGGGGAATTTTTTCCCTATTTAGTCAAGCTCTTTTTATGGTAGCATGTACTGATATTTTGATGTGTCAGACTATATTGAATTATATAACATGAGTATTGAAATTTTAAGTTCACTATGGCATGAAATATGACTGACATAACAAATATGAATTTATAAAATCTCAATCCACAACCCTGTTTAAATAATTTTAAAACTGCAACAAAACTGGGTTTGACAGATACTCAAAAGAAACTTGTACCATGTTTTGAAAGAGTTACTGGTCTTGAAATAATGATGTCTTCAACATATTAAATGGATTTTCCATGTCTAATTACTCTTTTAAACATCAATTTCTGCATTTTGTTAATATTGAAAGATGTCACTTCCTTTCTGTCAACTATTCTATGTTGAAATTGATGATGGGAGTTTTTAACAACCCTGACTGGCTATACAGCCCTCGCACGGTCGGCTCGTGCCCAGAGGCAATTGTTGAGCATTGAATATTTTCTGTTGTAGTTGGTCAGGAACAGGTGGAAAGCACCATTTTGGTAGGTGGCCATCTTGGTTTACGTGATTTGTTTTGGTTTGGTTTTTTACTATTTTGATGAATGTTGAAATTCATGAAAATTTTACCCTTAAAAGATTTTTCTAATAGCAAAAGGACAAAATGAAGGAATGGGACACCAGTTCAGTTAATCACAGAACCACTAATTGCCCACACACCAACTGTGAAACCAAAGCACAATGATGGCCAGTAATTCAGATCATCTCATTATGAGCATGAAATCTGGATAATTTACTCAACAGACCCTTAACAAATTTTAAATAGAGGAAACCATTTTCTTATGATTGGAAAAACTGTCAGAAGAAATTAATTTTATTCCTGTGTCAGAAGTTCAAGTCTGCTCTTGATTTAGTGAAAAAGTCTGTTATTACCATTTATTTCTTACAATTAGATTGGAGATGAAAATCAGAATCTGGACAAAACAAGGCTGTTATTCATATCTGATAGAATTTAAAATACAGTGAAAGTGTGTTACTTTTCTAAAGTTTGATAAACATACATAGCATTTTTTTTCTGCATTGCATATTAGTTGAAATTTCATATTTAAAAAATGTTCAAGTATAACTGTCATTCAATGATTAAGAAGCCAAATATTTTCAACTTCTCAATGTACCTAAAGGAATTCAATAATTGGTGAAAATGATTTTAATAATGTAATTTTTTTTTCTTTTTCTAAACTTTTGATCACTGCAACTGTTGTGTAACATGGCTACAGAAAGATGGCAGAGACCACATGAAATGAACATCTTTTCCTCCAGGAAACTAACATCAAAGCTGAGATGATTATGTAAATTACATAAGATACTGACATACCACATTAATTAATGTGTAAATTGTGCAATCATGCAATAACTTCTAGTTTACAGCTGGATTTTCCATTTTTTATATCATTTATATCATTTTGCCTGTAGTTGTTTAACATTTTTGTGTTTTCTTTGTTAATTGGGTTTACTAGTAAATACATGAAATATCAAGTAAAAATATTGACTTTTCATATTTCTTTTTCAATAGGTTTTTGTGATGTCTATCAGTTACATTGTTCATTCTTTTTGTGAAGAACTGTAAACATCTGTACAACATGGTGTACACAATTTTTCCTGTCATTATAAATTTCAACAATTTTGAAATATTTTTTGTAGTAGCAGAGTTGCAAATCTGTTATTGAAAATTATCTTCCCACACCTGCATTTAAATATATTTTCACTGATGCATGTACATGTATTACACAATGTTCTCCTCTGCTGCATTTTGATGTAATTTTGTATCAATGTTATTTAGATAACTGCTATTTTTTGTCATGCCACTTCTCCTTCTCAGATTAAAACAGTCTACATGCAACTTTTTTTTTTTTTTGAAATGCAGATTTTTAGTTGCTCAAAGATTTTCATTGTTTGAAATATCTAATTGATTCACTTATCAAAAGAATCTTAACGATTTGTGCATTTGCTTTTTTCAGTTTTGTCTTTTATATGTATAATGGTGTTACCTTGTTTGGTGTAACGTCCCAGCTTCTTCTATTTAGCTGTTTCTGTGTCATGGGAGACTGGTAGTCTGAATCCTGCATCCCAGTCAGGAGTTGCAGCCTGTTACCTGGAGCAATTCCTTGCTTTCCCCTGTAGGAGCACAGCCACCAGCCCTCCAGACCACCTGTGTCCTGTTCAATAACAGACAAAACATCCCCTCGTCTAAAGGCAAGTTCATCTGGGGTTTCTGCTTTGTTGTCATAGACAGCCTTAGCAAGTATTGTCTGAAATTACAAAAAAGTCAATATTACATCAAATAATAGGATTAAACTTGCAAAATAATGCAATGCATGTGTTATATAATTATATAATAATGTAAATATCAATATGCAGTTGCATGTTTTATGATTTTGTAGCTTTAATCAAATGAAAGTATCACTCACCATGATAAATTTAATCCGACTAATACGATTACGATTGATATGATTACAGTACTATTTTATATGCAAAGACAAAACCACAGAAATATTCTACTGTAACATATTTTTGTAATTTGATCTCTGTTGTCATTTTGTTTCTTTCTATGGATTTTTTTCTAGTTTTTTTCTCCGGTTTTAGGAGGTAGATGGTAGGGGAAGAGTTAGGGCTGGTGATGTTAAAGGGATAGGCGCAGTGTTTCTAGTCTATTTGTTTCTTCTATTTTTTAAGTGTAAACAATGGCTTGACATTGAGATAAAAGTTGCATTCATGAATCTTTTTAGTTTATCTATGTGAATATATTAACCCATCTGGAAGAATAATTCAACCCTTAAAATGTCTACTTCCCCATCTGCTCAGTATTAAACATGTTAATTGAACAATTGTAACTTCAAAATGGATATAGGTTTGAATTTGATGAGCAGGCAATTAACATCATCTGCTTTTCTGCATCCCAAATAATTCCTTGTACTTTAGAACTTAGAAACTCTGCCAACTAAAACACATAAAAGATGTAATTTTAGCTTCTGTTCCTTTTTTACCTAACTTCAAAACTGATAGCATTGAAGTAGATCTTGCAATTTAATGTATTTTATTTTTTATGGCACAGAAATATCTTCTTACTGGAGTTTGAAATATTTTGTGTCTTATTTTCTTTATCTTTTGATTTGAATAAACAATTGAATACATTTCTTTGAAATATCAATTTCTAATTTTGATTTTCCTCTTTTAATTGACAGAAGGAATGTAAAAGATATATATTTGGCCAAGCCTCTAACATATATTATATACTTTCATTAATTGTACTCACTATAAATAACACACATTTTTAATGTATTTATGAAATAGTTATAAAAAGATGACACAAAAGATTTATAAATCAGACATTAAAATGACACAGAGTAATAATGTCATTAACAACACTGTGCTATAAGAGCATGATAAGCATGTCAAAAGGCAAGTCTTAAGCAGTCTTTGTACAAAGTTTGAAAAATATATTGATCACTTATTTGTTGTTGGCAAACTGAAATATTGAACAAAAATATATTGATCACTTATTTGTTGTCGAAATATTGAACAACATGTTTTCCTTTATTTGACAAAAACTTTGAAAATCTGCAAAAGGTTAATAGGCTGTTAGTCTACCACCATTTGTAAAAAGGTGGAAGTAAATAGTTTGTATCTGGGCATACTTGAGTTGTTGCGGGATGTAAATATTCCTTCTTTTTTACAATTAAAGACCATTGTCTCTGGAAGAACATAAAATATATACAGACACTCAAACCACCCTCTTTAACGCCCTCATGGGTATATCTAACAAAAAAATGATGGTTGGGATAACTTTAAAATTCTTACTTCAAATTCACCATCATTAGTTGTAAGGCTGACAGACATAATTTCTTATAACAATGTTCTCAACAACTAATTTACTAACCATGTCTATCTACAGCATACTTTAAATTTTTAGAGGATTTTGATTTTTAAAATTAATCAGAATTATGTAAATGTTTCAGGGTTTATAAAGACAGAACATGAAAATTTGACATGTTAGAACTGAATATCTTTAATCACAATCTCCTAATATTTTCAAAACTAAATAAATCAACTAATGTCTGCATGTTTTCAGTTCATGGCCAAATAATTTGATATTTATATTAGATAAGTCTATATTGAGAAACTTTAAAGTAAATAAATTCATTTATCTGTCCTGAACATTGGACAAAGGCTCATTATAAACCTTCCTGTAATGACTAGGGTTAAACTAGGGTACAAATTCCACAATAAGCCATCAAGATTATAAAACAGTACTTCTCAAGATTAAAATTAAGAAGAAAAATGTCCAGTTAAATTTTTAAATTCAGATATTAAATATTCAAAGAAAAGAACTTTAACCGTTACATGTAACATCAAATTGTTTTGATTTTTTTAGACTTAAATTATTTGACACAAACATTTGTGAAGATTTCTAGACTACTGATAATAAAACTCCTAAAATGTAACCTTACCATGGAAATAGTCATATTTCTTTCTTGCAAATGTGAAAGTACAAGCTACATTTCATCAATACTCATTAAAACTGACCATTCAATCCCATATGGTCATTATGACCTACAGAGATCAAAGTATTAATGTAGAATCCATACAGTTACCTAATGGGTCACTTTCCCTTACAATACAGCTTCAATGATCTGAATCCCTAGGGAGTCTTTACTAATACAACAGAACAGATCTTATCTGTACTGATGTCTATGATAGACAGTCTCCTTGTGATTTCTCTATTATAATAACATAAATTTCATGCATTATTCAAATGATTACTTTCAAATCCATGTATGATATACTGATTGTATCAAAACTGATCATCAGCTATCGGTAACTGGTAAGTCTTTTTAAACCAATGAAATATGTATTCCCTTGTTTAACTGTTTATAAAATGTGGATTTTTTTAGAACTGTAGGCTTTTTTCAACCCTCAGAAATAGATGACCTTAGCCAGACTTTGAACAATTTTATTGTTTTTTGAGGTTTTCAATGCTCTTGTAATGTTATCTTTTATTGGACAAAGTTTCTGAAAGACAACCTGACATCTGACAAACTCCAACTCTCAGTCAGACTTAACTCAATCAATCTAAAAACCGTCACAGATCAATCAAAGCTGTACATACTTTTTCCTACAAGCATAGAACACCTGACGTCTGACAAGATACAGCCTAAGACCATCTTCATCATAAATTTCTGCACAGCAGCTGCCTTTATCATCATTACAGATAAATATTTATTTTTATATAATCATTACTGGTGCTTCCTGTGAGCTGGTTATGTTCCTAAATTAATGACAAATCATAAAAGCCAAACCACACTCCTGCACCCTCCATCTTCAGTAGTTTAGATAAATGTTTTATTTTCTTCACCAGCAGGTTCCAACCTCTGATCTTTGTAAATTATATTGTTTATCTATATACATCTATGTTTCATTCATAAAATCTATGAATCAACTCAGATAGATTTTTTCCTGATAAAAAAGTAAGCTTATTCATAAAATGAACACTTTTTTCAGGTCATTATATTTAAGTAACATCAAATCTTCCTATTGAAGCAATTAAAGGATGAGTTCATAAAGTGTCTTGTTTTAATTTACTCACACAATTTTACAGACTGAAAGTATTTACATTTAGTTTTCACCATTACAAAAAATTCATAACAGTAGCTGAAAAATGTTATTTATTTCTACAAAAAAATCCAATGTCTGACAGTCCAACTTCAAAAAGACAGCAACTTGAGAGACAGAAAATAAATTTACAATCCATGAGAGACAATAAATTATCTATTTAAATCCTGATCTAAGCACAAAGTGAACACTTTAATGAAAAATGTAATGGAAAACATGAAGATACAGTTTAGATTTAAAAAAAATTCTTTGTCCTTAACAAAAAACATCTAACTTCTTTTGTCATCACAGAAAACAGACAAAAATAATCAATTTGCAAGCTAGTCAAGTACCTACAGACCATATGGCTGAGCCCCAGGGGTGGAGGTTTTAATAAGAGGTACATTTTCAGGTGTCAAATGTATTACACATCACAGACGGAGTAATTAAATAATATCTATCATATGGGGATCTGTTGAATAAATATTAAATAAGATGCCTTTCAAATTTGTTTTTCATCTCTTCACACATTTCTGGAGCTTAGCTATAAATGGTACTGTGCCCAGTGGGTTTGCTGGAGGTGTCAAAATAGTAGATAAACAAAGTATTTGCTATAATGCTCCAAATATGTATTGATTATTGACATTTAATATTTTTAATCCAAAAAAGACTAATGGGTGCAGTCAAAAAGTAACATATTTATTATTTAGGCAATATAGATAAGACTGTTGTCTGGTGTAGTACAATTGGTACTGTATGTTACTGTATAAGCTTTGTTAATTGTATGCGGTACTGATGTGTAAAATCCAAATAGTGTGAATTTTTAAAAATTTGGTGACTAAGATTACTAAATCACTAAATCACTAAATCACAAATATCACAAAAATATGTCCTCGCAAAATTTGACCATTGTGGAGTATTAGAATTATTGTAAAAAAAATAAAGTTATAAAGGGTCATAACTGAAGAACGGTAAAAGTGACACTACCCAAATTTGTATTTGATCTGAGTTTTGTGGTAATAAGTATTGTGTATAAGTTTCATAACATTTGGTTGAGGCTAACTTAAGTTAGAGAACGGAGACTCAGCAATTTTTCCATTTGTAAAGGGGCATAACTCTAGAAACAGTAAAAGTTACACCACCAAAATTCAAACTTGATCTGTAATTTGTGGTAATAAGCATTGTGTATAAGTTTCATAACACTTGGTTGAGGCTATCTTAATTTAGAGAATTTAGCAATTTTTCCATTTGTAAAGGGGCATAACTCTAGAACTGTTAAAGTGACACCACCAAAATTCAAACTTGATCTGTATTTTAAGATCATAAGCATTGTGTATAAGTTTCATAACATTTAACGTGACGCCACTAAAATTCAAACTTGATCTGTAATTTCTGGTAATAAGCATTGTGTATAAGTTTCATAACATTTGGTTGAGGCAAACTAAAGTTAGAGAATGGAAACGAAAAATTCAGCAATTTTTCATTTGTAAAGGGGCATAACTCTAGAACAGTTAAAGTGATGCCACCAAAATTCAAACTTGATCTAGATCTGTATTTTGTGGTAATAAGCATTTCGTATAAGTCTCATAACATTTGGTTGAGGCAAACTAAAGTTAGAGAACGGAAACCAACTTTGGGACGTACAGACGGACGTACGTAC